AAAAAAAAAAACCTCTTCAAAATGTCCCTATTAAATCTTATTCAGTGTTATAGATAGAGTTTGTAACACTGAATAAGATTTAATAGGGACATTTTGAAGAGGTTTTTTTTTTTTTTTTTTTTTTAACTTAGTGGTAGTGGGTGGCACAACTTTCTAGTTAACATATCGCAACATATCCCTGGTCCGCTCGAAACGTTTCCCAGATCTGCTCATTATGAGGACATTTAACACATCACCCAACGCTTGGACATTGGTCGCTCTCTCAGTCTCTGTTGTTGGAATTCTATTACGTAGCCGAGTCTCTCGCTTCGCACCTTTTTTTGCCCATGCGCCGTTTCCCAGGTCTGGCCTGCTGATTACCGGTACCAAAGTCATTCTCTGATACTGATACACTAAAGTAATACGTCGGCATAGCTAGAGCGACGTGGCCTCCACGGCCTTGCCATGTTTCTGTTTTGTAAGGCTGTGGTCAGCAATGCAGTCGCCGCGTGTATAGGTTTACTTTAAGCAGATTTCTGATCGTTAATGCTGCATAAACTGTATGGTTTGTGTCCGCTACGGTGGCCGCGCAAATGAACGCAGGCCAAGTAAACCCACAACTCACCATAACACATCCAAACACAGGACTAGTGAACCAACGGACAAGTTAATAACACGCAGAAAAGTGAATACCGGTATATAGAACATAGACAGCTGAACCCAACAACTGGGTTTGAAAAGGCCTTGCTGAGATAATCGTCATTCTTGACTTGTTCTTGTAAATTTATTTTCACTGCTAATTCGCTATGATTGGTTCCGACAGATTTCAGCTACTTTTATAAATATGTAAATGTTTTTAATGTGCTGAAAATTATTTTACTAAATTGTATAAATAACCAATTTTTATTATATTTCTTGGGCAGATTTTTGTTTCCTAAACTGAGTCTATTGATTTCTTATTAAAAAACATTAACATTAACATGTTCAACAATATTGTTTAACATTTGTAAAAATATCTAGAAAATTCTTATCATAAAAATATTCTATCAATTATAGCTATGTACTTAAATTTTTTTTTTTTTAAATTAACGAGTGGAATGTGTTCATGATGTATGCATCCTATGTTGTTCAAATAACCTTAAATTTTTTTAATAAGCATTTGTCAGTGTCTTTTTCAGCTTTTATCGATATAGCATTTTAATTTTTTTTTCTGACGTCAATTGATGAATCAGGAGGAATAGTTTTGGAACTACATAATTGAAACTTTGCATGCTTATTTATATTGACATTCTCTACTTAATGATGGATGGTTTTTAAACAAATATCTCAAAGGAAAATTTTATAGAATTTTTTTATTTATATATTTTTTTTATTAGGTTCGTGTGTTAATTTTTTCTCTATCTTTTCTGTCTTAGTTTTCTAATTGTTTTTTAATTCATGAATGATATATGTACATGGTGTATGCATCCTATATGGTTCATGCAGCCCTCTAATTAAAAAAAACACAATTTTATACTTTTTAAAATTTTTCTCAATTTTGCATTTTCCGGATTTTTTAGGAACGCCAAATGAATTGGGAGGAAAAGTATTTTAGCTACTGCATTCAAACATTGCATGCTTCGTTTCATTGATATTCTTTACAAAATTCAAGAGGCTTTTTTTTTTATATACCAGGTATATCCAACTAGAAAAGGTTTATAACATTTTTACATTTGCTACTCCTGAAGAGTTCTCGAATATTTATGTGACCCCCTCATACATGCTATTTGTAACACTTCCAATAACTGCTGTGTAATAGCTTCTTTAAACTTTATGTCAATGTTATTCTTAATGTGTATGCCAAGTTTCATTTAAAATACAGTACAATAAGTTACAATACAATGCAATACAAATTGGTCTTTATTCAATTTGCGTAAAAGTCAAAATTGGTATAAAATGTTTAATTTTTTGCAATAAAAGTCACAACAAATTTGTTTAAAATAAACTTTAGTGGATTTTTGTCTTTCTGTTTGTATATGGTTTGTATGTACTATATTTTTTTCAATGGCTCTATTTATTCAGGGTTATCAGTATTTTATTTTCAATGTGGCATGACTTAGTTGCCTTGAAACCAAACTCCCTTGACAGATCAAATATATTTGCTCCCACTCAATCATTACATCTGTTCTTAAATGAAGAAATGATAGAAACAATAGTTATCTGTATGGGTACCAACAAGGAATGTGAGAAAGTAAAAGGAGACAAATGGCAAAGGAATGATGTGACCTAATTGAATGAGTTTATTGGCTGCCTACTCCTTACTGGCCCCTAATTTATTTTATGGATTACTTGAGTACACAACTCAAATACCCGGTAACTAACAACCAAACAAAAATTTTCTCAAGTCAATTAAGGTTTTTTTTAAATATTAAATTTTAAATTATGTACCAGTGTGTTAGACCCAGTAGACAGATATGGTAAAAAAAAAAAGACGTGTTCTCCAAAAATAAGTCTCTTTCTCATGCTTTAAACAATGGCATCCTTTAACTTTAAGATGTTCATTGCAACTACCTTGTGAATTAGGTCAAGTCAAATGAGAAAAGTTATTGAAAGGAGATTCGAGATATCAGAAAAAACAGTCAGTGTCTGCATGTATGACTCACAGTGCCAAGGAAAAAGTTTAAAATTGGTGGTTTTGTTCTGACTAAGCCAAGCTCTCTAGAGGAATAGTTTAAATTAATTCAATATGAATGCAATTTTCATTATTAAGAATACCTATTAATTCTTAAAGTACTGTGTGATTAAATCTTTTAACTTAAACAATACACATAAATAATCTTAAATAAAGGATTTAATTTTAATAATTAAATTAATATTATTACTTTTCTAAAATCCAAATGAAAACAATAAATGTATCTAAATCATCTTCATTAATAGATTTTTTTTTTTTTAAATGATCTATGAAAATGACTTAACTAAAAAAGAAAATAGGAAAGAAAAAAAATCTACCCGTCCTAAGAGAAATTAACATAGCAAAAATATGAAAAAAACAACTAAAAATAATAAAACTATGAATCTATGAAATAACAAGGAGAAAAAAAACAATTAAAAAAAATAATGCTCATACTATTATTGTTATCACACCCGGCTCCGAAGCCATTTAATCTGTACGGAGCCACTCCGGGTGCGAATAGTCATTTGCGATTAAAAGTACCCGAGTACCATCGCCGCAGCCTTTAGATTTCTCCATGGTAATAATGTGACACAATATGGCGGATGCGCTTCTTCTTCTTGCTCTGAAGGGCCAATCTAAACATTTAACGTTGTGCAATAAAAATCTAGAAAAAATCCCCCAAATTATTGGGAAATTAGATTTTATATGTCAACTGCAACTGAAAAATAATAAAATTAAGACTCTTCCTATAGAGATTTGCAATCTTCATAATGTAGGTCGATTCAAAAGTATAAACTATATAATTATAATTATAACTTAATAAGTCTATAGTCTATAACTATACTATAACTAATTTGTCAAAATCAATTACTGATTGATTACTGTCTATACTCTATTAGTATTACTGTCTAAGTACTCTAGTAGTATCTAGGCTTATAGATTTAATTATTATAGCTACAGTATTCGTCAATATTAAAAATTAAATAAAAGGTATAATTATAATAATAAACTAGATAATAATTTAAGTTTAAGTATTACTATTATCATATTATGACTTATGTTAGCCATATTATTATTATTATGGTTAATTTTAATATACTATGCTATGCTATATTTAATATACAAAAAAAAATTGTTTGTTTAGGTCTTCTTAGCCCTTTGCATGATGCTAGGCCTATTCTAAATACATAATTTTTTTATTAAGAAAATTATGTCATGAGTCATAAGATTTAAATTTTAACTACCATATTTATTGGCATGTAACACACACTTTTTCTCCCTGAAAATAGGGGGCAAATGTTGTGTGTGTGTTATGCTGATATAATCGTACATACCGCATAGCTGCGCAAATGGTGCGTGTTATACGCCAATAAATACAGTACTTCTTAGATAAATTACATTTTTAATATTATATAACTATATTCATAAAAATGTCAACACAATATTAAGCTAGGCCTGAAAATATGAAATATCTATTTTTTAAATTATATTATTTTAATTATAATTTCAAAGGACTTGGTACTTAAACAAATGTTGAATTTAAATTATGCTTCAGGGAATAAGTTAATACTAGACATTGCCAAAAATTATCAACCACCAATAAAATATTTACACTGGTAGCACAGAAATAAGCTTTAAAAAAAAAAACAGAATCTCCATTTCATTCTGTATATTTTTCCCTGTATTTTATGCATGTTTTTGTTTATTGTATTTTCCTTTTTGAAATAGGAGATAACTAATTTTTTTTTTATTCCAACTGTAAAATAGCTACAAATTCTCAATTTGGGTAACAATGCTCTTGAGGAATTTCCTTCTCTTCTTCAACACCTTCAAAGTCTTCAAAAGCTTCACCTATTTGGAAACAACATCAGCCTCATTGATGGGAATTCTCTCAGTAAATAACAAAAATTTAGGCTCCTTTTTAAAGATTGCATTCATTTAAATAACATTTATAAAAGAAAACTAACTAACAAATCAACATTATTTACATTTTTTTTCCATATATTTTGCTACTACAACTTAAACATTGCAGATTATGAACACTGATGTACTCTGAGATCACACAAATAATTGTAGTTTCGAAGCATACTAAATTTGTTATCTCTGTTAAATTTATCCAGATGGTTTTAAGAAGTTGAAACTACTAAATATGAATGGAAACAAGCTAAAAACATTGCCCCCAGAAATTTGCAAGTAAGAGGGTAATCGAAAAAAATGTAATTAAAAAATAACTAGGGTTACATTAAATATTTTTAACACAAGTACCAATAATAAAGATCGTTTCAACTTTCATAAAAATAAATAGCTAAAATCTCTACTGATCTTTCTTTACAGACTTGAGAGTATTGAGCATTTATCTATTGATAAAAATCAACTTAATGAGTTGCCTGTAGAGTTTTGTGCCTTGATAACATTAAAGGAGTTTCATGTTGCTGCCAATTGTCTAACATCTTTACCCCTTGAGATGGGATACTTAATCAACCTGGAAAGTCTATATATACAACAGAATAAAATCAGAGAGCTTCCAGAGGTTACAAACTTTTTTTTTTTTTTTTTTCATTAGCTTCTGGTGGTGATGGAGAGGGGAAGAAACTGATAGCAACATTACTCTGCATTATACTCTCTGCCCCTATCTTGTTGATATCTTCAAAAACAAGCCAAGTTTAATAGAATGCTTCCAGAGGTTACAAACTTTTTTTTTTTTTTTTCATTAGCTTCTGGTGGTGATGGAGAGAGGAAGAAACTGATAGCAACATTACTCTGCATTATACTCTCTGCCCCTATCTTGTTGATATCTTCAAAAACAAGCCAAGTTTAATAGAATGAAAATGTTTTTTTCCAGTTATAATAAATCATTAAAAATTAAAGTTAAACAATACGTAGCTCTCTCTTCAAGTATGAACTAAAGGCACACAAAACGTTAATAAATCAATAAATTAATTTGTAGCACACCATAGGCCTACTATGTGTTTTCAAAATAATGACGTCAAATCATGTGTTGTACTAATTACCTATACAATGTATTCATTAGAGCCTGGGAAAGTGCTACAGATTAAGATACCTTGATGTAGGAGCAAATGAGCTTAGGATATTTCCAACAGAGGTGAATCCATATTTTTTTAATAATTATTGCAGGGCTATTTTATAGAGCTAAATAACTTTTTCTTTTTTAAAAAAATAAAAAAAGTATCAGACATATTTTGTCAATATGTGCAGTTAAAAATACATAGTTTTATAAAAACCTGACAACTTGAACTGGATTTCAATTTTAGATTAGCATAATTTATTTTCTTATATGCAATTACCTGTGACTTCAAAATAGGAAAGATCACTTAATTTTAAAAAAAAATTTAATAGGACTAAAGAAATCACAATTTCAATTATTAATAAATTATTTAATTAAAAATTGCTTCACATTTTTCAATGAAATACATATGCAACATTGGCTACTTTTTTTGTTGCAGTGTACAAACAAATCAAGTTCCATAAAGATTTTGTGCAATGTTGTTCATGAAATGTAACCTTTACACATTTATGAATATAGTTTAAGGTTCATATTATTATTATAATTTTTCTATATTAATTTTTTTAATTGACATTTTCATTCAAATTAATTCCTTAATTCTAACATTCTTTTTCTGTACAAGACATGGATTACATAAAATAATATTAGAAAACACTAGTTACTCATGCACATTTGTTTTAATTTAGGCTACAAAAATAAAATAGTGTTCCCCAAACCATTCTTGCCCCACATCTCAGCCCTTTATTGGAAGTGTTTAAAAAAGGGTGTCTCCATGCTGCCTCCAGGAACATTAAATTTTAGTTTTACTGCCTGTTTAAAAACTAGAGATTCAATGTTGTTTGATTTAACTTACAATAAGTGAGAAATATCTTTGAATGGCAATAAATGACTTAACATTGGTCACCTTAAATCATCTTCCCTTCTTTTATAAAAAACTTAATACATTCCCTATCTCAGAGAATAAATGTCCCAACATAATTTTCAAATTGCCCCACGTTGGGAAACACTGACTTAAAGAATATATTTTAAACATCAATTAGAAACTTTCAATAAGTTGTGTGTTATATATTTTTCTCAGTTGTCAAGCCTTCCTTTGAGGGAACTTTACTGTGAAGAGAATCCACTGTTGCAGAACTTACCTGTTTTTTCTGTACAAGAAGAGGAGATTCTTTCCCTAAAGGTAATTTAATGACCTACCTTTCTAATATAAGATTCTAAAGGTCATGTGCATTTTAAGATCATTCATTTTGCTATTGAAAAAGAAATTTAAAAAAAAAATATTAAAAAATGCTGTGAATCTTCAACCAAATAATTCTATTTGATTAATTCTTGATTATCACATTATTAATTTATCATGTTTCAGGAACTTTGTGCTAGATTTGTTATGAAAGAGCTGAAAGACAGGTATACACTTTATACATTTTGGAATGATTTAGAGAAAATATGTCAATACAAACTATCAGATTTAAAGAAAAATTTCAAGCTATAAATGTTTTAATAATTTTATTTTCAATTTCAGAGGTTCCAGTATGAGGCGGAACATTCGCTCTTACCCAGATGTCCGCAATATGTTGGCTCAGTCAAGCAAGTGTGCAGTGTGTAGTAATGCATTTCTCAACACATGGTTAGAATGTGTCAAGTTTGTTGATGCCAAGAAGGTATCATAGCATTTTTATTATTATTAATAATTTGTATGTTCTGTTTCATAAATTCTTCACTGCAGATAAAGCATTTTTTAAAATCTTTGTGATTTTTTTACTGTATCAGTATGGTTCAAATGCAAATCGTCATGGAGTAAGATGGAGCATGATTTCATTGAATTAAAGCCAAAGAAAAATGTCTGATTTGCCTTTCCTTAACATGTTTATCCGCTTATTCCACAGGATTTGAGACTAGTTTCAATGTCTGGACTCATCCCAGTGAGAGCTCTTCTGTGTTCCTACAAGTGTTTTAATGCAGCTGGGCACAGTTACTATGGAGTTGCCTTTCCATAATATATGGCATCCTTCCGTCTTCGCGAGACGATGGAGTAGCTATGTAGGACTACATTTCGACGGGTGGCTCACTAGGCCAGTCCTGAAATGACAATCTCGACTGCATTTCTCGCAGGAGAATATTGATTCCTGGTTGGACTTGTCCTTCCGTATTGTTCTTTTTGTTGCAAGGGCTTCATTTTGCTCATCTTCTGCCTTTTTGACTCCTTCATGCACTGCTGTTCGCCAGCTGGAATGTTGTACGGCAATGATCACCCATTTGCTGAGTTCAATAACACATGTTGATTTTATTAGGTTTGTGATGTGAATTGCTGGATAAAACAAAAATCTTTCATCTAAGTAAATGCATTAGTTTTCTGAGTATCTTTTTCCAAGTGAATTTATGAGTAATAAAATCCAGAAAACCCAAAAAGTTCAGCATGAGAGATGTAAGTTTTTTTATTTAAAAAGGAGTAACATAGCTATAAAGTTCGAATCAAGGGTTTCCACCCAAGGACTATGACTTTTTTCACTGTAAATAGTAAATCATGTTTATAATTTATAACATTGACTAATGCGGCAAGAAATCTTTTGAGTTGTACACCAGACTTGTACCACAAGAATAAGTTCAAATAATAGGACAGGTTGTCGCTGTTTGCGAAAAAAAATATGTTTAACCCATTTGCTCTTTAATAAATTTCTTTTGTTTAAAATATATATACACAAGAATTACTATTTTGCATTATCAGAGAGTAGACAGAAAAATATAAAAAATGCATTATTTTCATGTTCATGTTATTACTCATTCAGTTATTGCCAGTCTTTTTAAATCATTAAAAAATAGAATCACTTTCAAGTTCCAATGACTGGATCATGAGAATCATATTTACATACCATACCGGTATATGCATGTATATCAGGGGTGCGAGCCATACTCTCAAAGTCGCAGTGATTTTGAAGTAGATAGTGCACCCTTCTGCTCAAACATAACCAAGAGCAAGGGAGAAATCAAATTTTCCCTGACATTTTGATTTTATGCAATTGTCAACCGCACACATTGAAATTTAAGTGCTACATCTGCATTGCTAATATGTAACATTTATTAAATGATACACAACGAAAAAGACTCACTTCCAAGTGATTTTTGGACTGTAGTGATTATCCAAGTGATCTTTTAAACAGAGCAGCCCAGCACTCATAAAGGAAATACCATGCCATTACAATCTATCACAATTTTGCTCACTGTTATTCACTTCCGCAAAATGTTTTAATATTCAGAAGCAAAATTTAGAAATAAAGATGGTTATTTGATCATATTTAACAAATATTAGTTATATCTACGTTTAAAAGGGGCATGTAACTCCCAAGATTATAGTGCAACCTATTTGTGAGTCAACCACAAATACCTTCGTTGACAACCCCAAACTTAATATAACTGGGACCTATATACTGGCGCGTCCTATATGGGAGTATATCCATGATAATCCAAATGCTATGATTTGGACCTATATACTGGCGCGACCTATATGGGAGGAGTATATACATGATAATCCAAATGCTATGATTGGGACCTATGTACTGGCGCCACCTATATGGGAGTACATCCATGATAATCCAAATGCTATGATTGGGACCTACATACTGGCGCCACCTATATGGGAGGAGTATATCCATGATAATCCAAATGCTATGATTGGGACCTATATGGGAGGAGTATATCCATGATAATCCAAATGCTATGATTTGATCCTGTTTCAATGTTGAAGATGTTCGCCCTGTCAAATAAAATAAAATTTCTTTCTGGTGAGTGTGGGAAAGTCAACTCACTCATTGACATGCATGACAGACCCCAAGCCTTTGAAGTACACCTGTCCCTTGAAATGACATATGTTCTTTGTATTCTAATCATTTATTTGCCAGAAAAAAGTATCTGTATTTCCAGTAATTTTAAATACTAACATCCAGAATATTTTGTTTAAAATCTATTCTATTTGTTGTCCCAGCATTTGCTGTGTGTTGACCATTGTGAAATATGGCATAAAGTGTTATCATTTAATGTAAATAAAATGTATTATTAAAAAATCCTTCAGAAGGTTTAAATCTATTTTAAAGGAATAAGCAAGGGTGACATCAATGACACCAAACTATTTAGGATCCCCTCCTCCCTTTATCACAAAATTTGCACAACTGATTTAAACATCCTCACAAATTCGGGAACCCCCCCTTCTCCCTTTAGATGCATGGAATTATTTATGGATGGCTCATAAAAACAATTAACAATCTTTTCAAATAAGTAAACATAAATTATTTTAAAAAATCAAAAAACAAGCTACCCAGCAAAACACAATTGATTTTAATATTTTATTGTCTTTTCAAAAACAAAATGTGTGTACTGTTTACATATCAAGGATAGCATGTAATAGTGATAATAAGTTAAATACTTGCTTACATGGCATCACAATCCTCTAGGTTAGTTCATGATTTCTACCATTTACATGGAATCACAATCTCTCGGTTCATCATTTCTATCAAACACACAGATTGTATGATCTGACCAGAACCATCTCTTTTTTGCTACCACAAAACTCAAATTTAGACACACACCCCCCACCCCCCTTAACCAACATGCATCCATCCACATGACATTTTCAAATTTACATATTTAAATGACTCAGATCTAATATATATAAAATTACAATATATATAAATCTGCTTGTGTATACATTCATAAACACAAAGAAGCTCATATTTATTGACTGTCACTAAAACAGAATTCTTCATTATTCACAGTACTACACCTGCCCTCAATCAAAATAAGGTACAGATGCTGAAGTCACCAATAAATAGTTTTGACAAAACAAATCAACAATTCCTGAAATGGGCACCGGCTAAGATTGCATAATATTGTAGTACAGGTGCACACAACAGAACTGTGCATTGGTTTGTTCCATCTTAAGTTACTGGGAATAGGGAAATCACAAGAATTGTTAGGTGAATCCATCAATATTTATGAACGCATTTCTTTCTCTGAAATAACTTAATGAGGTTTTGGGAACTCCTGTTGATGGGTGAAACGATATGTAATTAATTACTCAGCACAATGACATGTATTGCAATTAATTAATTGTGGAATATATCATTACTCTCATTCAAAACATTATCAATAGCTAAATCGAGGAACAATATTAAATTGTCATAAGGGAATAAAATACACCAACACTCTGACCACTTGACCTGACAAAGGAAGGAAAATTAAAACTAGGAAACCAGTCAGTTGCTGCTAATAATCCTGCAGCAAACACATTTTAAACAAATAATAATAGATTACAGGAACCAAAATAAATACAAACAGACAATAATAATAATGTCTGAAGGCAACTGAAAAAGCTTTTGTTTATTAAATTATTATGTGAAGAAAAGAAAGGGGATAAACTCATCAAGGAAATATCAATTACATTAAGGCTTTTGGCTTTCACACCTGGCAGTGGATTAGAAAGAGAGAGAGAGATAGAGAGATAGAGAGAGAGAGAGAGAGAGAGAGAGAGAAAACAATGATGGAAGAATTTATTTAAATGACTTTTTATATTTTAACAGCAGCAATAAAAGTACATTATCTCCACAACAGGTTTATAGATGGTAATAAACCTTTATCTTTAGCTTAATTTGCAAAAATGTTATCTTCAAAGATTTTCTTGCAACTAAAGTACTGATGCTGTAAATCTACCATTAATTTTAAAGCAATTAATGAACAACCCATTATCAGATAGCTGAAGATAGAGTGAGAGTTTGGAAGACAGTTATATGGTATATTCTCAAGTCACCTAGTAATGCATAAATAGAGATGTTGGAAATTGCTTGAAATAAAAAAAAAAAAAAAAAACAATGCTGAAGATAGAGTGAGAGTTTGGAAGAAAGTTATATGGTATATTCTCAAGTCACCTAGTAATGCATAAATAGAGATGTTGGAAATTGCTTGAAATAAAAAAAAAAAAAAAAAACAAGGAAGAGTGAGATAATTGAGAGTAGATAATATTTCTAGTGGTATGACAACTTATTCTCTTATAAACATTCAATGTTTGACTAACCCTGAATTAATGAAGAGACAAACCAGATCTTCTGATTAAACTTTTGTACTTTAATACCAGTACCATAAGTCTATCTTACAACCAAAACATTTTTTGTACTTAAATACCAGTACCACAGGTCTAATGGTGCAATACTAGTACCACTGGTCCATATCTTTTGTATTTTAATACCAGTACCACTGGCCTATGATGGTACTATCAACAAAATAGACATCACTAAAGGCCAAAATATCATTTTCCCCAAAAATAAACTTGACATATAGAAATGCTTTCAAGGAGGATCAAGTCTTCAAAAACTCTTAACTCTTGGATAATAATGCATTTTCACAATCTCCTGACATAGGGATTGATGGTAGATTTGTTAGCATGTGGTAGGTGGAGATCAACTGTTGGTAAAATATCCATAAGTTTATCAATAAATAAAAAATCTGTCATCTGGGGGAATGAATGCTGCATGGAATATTCAGTTGGTAAAATAAGTTAACCATAGAGAAATTTATCTAATGCAAGCAATAGTATTATTTTATCCATTCCAAGATATTTGACATTGAGAGTATTGTAAAACGAGTGCACTAGTTGTACTTGGACAGGCTGAAATCCTAACAGTTTAGGATGATTGGAGGTACATCATCATGATTTTAAAACAGTAACCTGTGGTCTTCCCTAACTCAACACTTCTTTAACATATCCTCGAATCCTATTCTAACCTCTTTTCCTTATGCTTTTCATGATTAATTACCCTATTGGGTATTTTGTAAAATAATTTTTAAAACGACAATTACAAATCAGCTTTAAAATTTTTGCTGTCATTAAAAAAAATTTCTAGAGCTAAAGTGATGTGTAAAAAAACATAGACCAATAAGAGGACTTTGTTCATGTTTAAAAAAAAAAAAATAAGGCTTGCACCATAAACACCAATGGTAGTATATAATTTATGCAAACGTGTCCAATATTTACAGCTGATTTTAAAATATTAGTATGAAGTACATAATAAAAACTAAACAGATGTTAATGCAGGTCACTTTTTAAATCATCAAGCATAATAAAACTTTTAACATAACCACCAATTAATTACAAAAAAAATAAATTTTAAAATTAAAAATTTAAGCTGTCTATTATTATTGAAAAGGAATTGCCATGGCCATTGTACACTTTAAAGTTCTTTTCAAGTTTCCATCATTTTACTTTTACAACTTCGCCATTCTGTTATGAAGTGTTTAACAAATATTTTTGACGACAATTTATAAAATATACCATTGCTTTTGGACCTCTTCAATTTTATCGGTTTACCTATTTAAATAAAGTTTATACACAAAATTCTAATCAAAGTGATCTACGGGCGAAGCCTAGGGGCAGACAGCTCACCAGTTTGACCAACACTGAGATGGATTGGCAATGATGTAGAGGACTTACACTAGCTGGGGGTCCACACATGGAGGCAGAAAGCCATGAACAGATCCGAATGGAAGGATGTGGTGGAGCAGGCCAGGGCCCTACATGGGCTTCAGCGCCAATGATGATAAATTCTAATCATAATTACCTCCGGCTTTCTACCTAAACAGCTCAACTATCACGTGGTCTCATTGAACTTGGAAAGAGTTTAAATATCTATTATATTGACTTGTTGTATTTGACACTGAATTACTTTAAAAGAAAATGCGTCAATGCAGCAACATGTGTATTAAAATAAACAATTACTTTAAGAGAAAATGCGTCAACGCAACAACATTATATATAAAACAAACAAATCAGAAGATGTATTTACTTTTCATTGTTGAAATAAATGCAACTATTTCTGACTGCCAGTTTTACAATATTGTTAGAACACCTATTTTCTGATTGCCAGTTTTACAATATTGTTAGAACAACTATTTCTGACTGCCAGTTTTACAATATTGTTAGAACAACTATTTTCTGACTGCCAGTTTTACAATATTGTTAGAACAACTATTTCTGACTGCTAGTTTTACAATATTGTTGGAACGATTCTTCTATAAATCATTCCTCTTCTCTTGATGCTATCCAAAATAGTTAGTTCCTGACTTCCATTGCACCAACATATAAATTATTTAACCTTTTAATTTTTTATTTAAATAATTGTACAATTGAAGTGCATGATACCTCTTTTAAAAAAATAATAATGACAAAACAAATACTTTCAGACAGGATGTATCACATGAAATAAAATATCATCACTTTGATGCAGTGCTAACACAATACATGTTTCTGATAGAAATCTTAAATAAACAGCACACAAGGAATGATGTCCAATCAGTATTGGACCAAGTTTAAACATGATCATAATCAAAACCACCAGATACATTTCCTTGCATAAGATGAGCAGTTGTTTTGATGTATAAAATAATCATTGTTCTACAGTTGGCAATGCAAACCCTCCCACTGTCTGTGTGCTGCCTCTGACTTCGATGCTTAATCAGGCTCCTCATTGAGACACAATGGAGGAAATAGCTCACTTTTCTAGACTAGTAATGCAAGTAAACACTTTGATCATAGCACTCTGGACAAGAATATATACAAAATTCATGCTGCTCAACTTTTCTTGTACACGTTTGGTACTGCATGATTTGCATTGTGTTCACAACATTGAAATGTGTCCAAGAACTCAAATAAATAATCCATTATTTTGTGCTTGAGAATGCAAAGCAAAAAAAAAAAAATTAATCAAGGGGAATAGATTCTTATGAGAATTTACAACATGGTTTAATGATAGCATGACAAGAAATGAATAAAAGAGGCCAACATTTTTTAAATAGTTTACAGCAGCAGAGATATGTGTAAAAATGTGTCTTGATCGATGTATACAACCTTACAGATGTAAAATTTACAAAGATGACAAGATTTAAGAAAACACTTAAAATGTCCACACAAAAACAAAGCAAATAATGATTTCATTAAATCTGGTGGACTTAAAAATCTCATTTAGTGGTTTTG